CTCTAAGTGCACACCCCCTCTAAGTGCACGCTATCACTCATTCCCGAGGGGGGTGCACTTAGAGGGGGTTGACTGTACTAATATTATTTTTGAAATTTGGTTGTGATTCTAAAAATAATGACCATATAAATAATTATGAATCAATTTCTTATAATAAAAGTCAAAATTTTTCTAATACAACCTTCTAAGTGATTATAAATGACTTTGTAAGGAACATTCTGGCATAACTATTACTGTCAAGTTTGCTTTATTCTGCGTATTAGTTGGAAGAAAATCTTAAAATATGAAAAAAAGCAACCCTTGCAGCCTGGTGTAGTCTCCTATTTTAATAGTTGTTAGGAATCCCTAGTCTGGCTCTAAAAATTTTATTATGATTGAAAAAGTCACTTGTTAAAAGAAAAACAATGAATTTTTTTTTTTGAAGTTGGCGACAAAATTTTTATTCGTGTAACGGTTATAAATGAATCTTATCCAGTATATTACACGAGTTTCAAAAAAATTTTATCTCGTAAAAAAATGTGTATGTATATTTACTATTATATTATTTTAGAGATTTAGGAACAAGTTACTAAATTTACTAATTTAAACACAAGTTTCAGAAAAGAAAAAACCTAATAATACACTTGCAGCACAATTGGCAAAATTGACAAATCCTGCTCCAAAAGGTATAAATTTGTAAATATTTTATAGCAAAAGAAAAATTTTCAAGATATTAATCTTATTAATTAATCAGATATTGATCCTGAAGAATTTGATGAAGCTTTCAAAACCTACGAATTTGATCAAATCAATAATAGTGATGATGATAATGATGATGATAATAATCAAAATAATGATTTAGGAACAAAACATTATATTCAAGTTGGGTATGAACAATTTTTGAGTTTTAATTAATTTATTATACTATATATAAAAAATCAAATTTGATTATGATTTCTAGTGCTAGTAAACTTCGAAATAATCTACAACTCACTTTAGATGATGCAAAATATGTTGGTAAACATTGTACCAGAAAAGATATTTTTGATGTTGTTGATATTCTTGATCAAGATAGTATGAAAAACAATGATTTTGATATAAATAATAGACAGATATCAAAAATGTTTGAAGATCAAGAAATGATCAATGATGTTGGATCATCAAGTATCGGAAGTGATGAAGTAAATGATGATGATAAAGAAATCATTACAGAAGGAAAGAATGATGATATAGAATTAAATGATATTAATTCTATTCGAAAAGAATTAGTGAAAATTGAAGATGATGAAAGGTTTTTATAATAATCAAACTTTTTGCTTTTTTGTAAAATTTTTAGTTAGACTTACTAATAATGATAATTATTGTAGAAATTTATTGAAAAAAATGTCACAGAGTGCTCAAGAAGACATAAATAAGGGTAAACATGTAAAGACACAACTTGTAAGTGTAATAATGAAATAAATTGTAGTTTGGATGATTGTTTTAAAAATTAACAATATTATCTACACATAATAGGGTCTTTGGGATACTTTCCTTGATATGAGAATAAAATTCCAGAAAGCCGTAACAATATCAAACAGTTTTCCACAGGTTTCTGATTATTCATTAAAGAATATATATATGCAATATGCAGTGTTGGCAATTGGACACTTCATTTTTTGATAATTTGGATCTAAATTTAGCCATATGATTGGCTGCATTAATGTACAATATACCATTTTGGTAATTTAATGCCCAATTGCCAACACTGGCAATATGTGAATATGTACCTAACATAAATTTTTCTATTTTAACCAAACAAAATCAGTATAATATGTATTCTCAATTTATAACAACACCAGACACAAAAGATTTAATCCATGAAACAAAATTTGAATTAAAAGAACTTCTTGATTCATTAATAAATTTACAAAAGGTTGGTCTTAAAATTATTATTTGATTATAATAACTTTATCTTGATTTATAATAATTTATTAATTGATATTTTTTTTAAAAACAAAAGGATTTGTGTATAAACAATGAGAATATAAGTATTTCCAACAATATTGTGATTAATCATAAAAGGCGTCATGGAAATGAAAATGATTACTTGGACTATTTTTGGAATGATATGCAAGAGACTCACAAAAATTTTTTACCATATCGTACACAAACAATCAATAAATGGAATAATAAAGTTCAAATTGCTTCAGGTATTCCACTTAACAAAAAGTTCAAAGCTATTAACCAAAGTGTCAATACACATATTGAACAAATTTTACAGGATCAAGAAAGATTAATTAAAAGAACTCAATTAAAAAGAAATACTGAAAGAATTTTGGGGAAAGTTGAAACCAAAAATTACAACAATAATAAAACAAATTCAAAAAAATATGATGAACATTTATCTAATCATGATGAAGAAATATTTGATGATACAGATTTTTATCAACAACTATTAAAAGAATTGATAGATAATCAAATGATTGACACAGGTAATATTAAAAATGATATCATAACTACAACAACAATAATGATAGTAAATAATAACATGTCATGCTTGAATTGCAAATTAAATAATCATTATCATTATTTAGATGATCCAGTTGCATCAGGATTGAAATGGGCTGAAATCAAAAAAACCAAACAAAAGAAAAAACCAGTCGACACTAAAGCAAGTAAAGGCAGAAAATTGAGGTAATTTTTATAATTCGAATAAATATATAATTGTTAACCAACCAATTAACTTATTATTGTAAAAAACAATTTAGATATCATATCCATGAAAAATTACAAAATTTCATGGTTCCAATACCAGCTAGTGCATGGCATAAGGATATGATTGATGAATTATATGCATCATTATTAGGCAAAAAATATGAAGCAATTAAAGATGAAGTAAGAGATGAAGATGAAAATGAAAATGAAAATGCAATGAATCAAAAGGATTTTGCAAATAAAAATTTGATAGAAGAAAAAAATAGAGGAACTAAACTAGATGGATTAAAAATTTTTGGATAAATCATTCAATAATAAATATTATTATTTATTTTTTACAAAAAAAACTCTCCTAATACAAATACAATTTAATTTTTATTTGTATTGGCTGAAATATTTTCAATGACATATACACTACTTTCTTTCAATTGATAAATTGTGAATTTGTTATTAACATCCAATTGTTTATTTAAATCTTTTTTGATTAATCAAATTGATTTTTTAATTCTGCATGATTTTCTTGTAAACTTTTATATTGTTCTGACAAATCTTTTGTTCAGGAATTCATGTAAATTGTAGAATGATGCTCATGTTTGTCTTTATTTTTATCTATAAGTTAAATTTTTTGAATTTCCTCATTTACATTAAATCAGAAAGCCATGGTCACCAATGTTGTTGTTATGGTAATAAATATAATAATTCTATCTATACATGCAGCCCAAATTGGTTTGGTGATTTCAATGGTCAAAATTATGATGGTAGAAAGTAGAAATTAATTACGGCACTCACTATTAAGAACATAAGTGTAACACCCCTTTACGCATGTGTAACCTCTTTTATGACAGTGTCAAAATACTTTGGGCTGCATGTATAATTATAACCAATCAAGTTATTCTTTTACACAAATAAATGTGTTTATAATTATAACTAGCCAAGTTATTCCTTTTACCCATTAAATATAATATACATACATAAATGTGTTTATAATTATAACTGACCAAGTTATTCCTTTTACCCATTAAATGTAATATACACACATAAAAATCAGTAACCTGGTAAATGATTTTAATATTATATATATATACAAATTCAATAATTTTTTTCCTTTACCTGCAAATCCATTGATATTGTCACCAATTAATTTTGGGAGAGCATGTTTTAATTGATGATAACAGATTTTTATTAATTTATGTGGATCAGAATGAATACGCTAATACTAACGAATTAGATTTATTAGCAAATAATTTGATTTTGTATTTAGTTGAAACTAATTATTAACTTATTATTAACTTATTATTAAGTTAATTTGTTACAAAGTTATTCTTTGATTACAGCGAATTCTCATTCCTTATATACATGTTGAATTATTAGTGTCCCAGTTTGGTATAATTAGCCCAGGTTGGGATTCTCCCACTTTGTACTTGGGATCAGTGTATAAAATTCAGCAGTAGGGTGTAACGTTACACTATAAATATGTGTGCACGAAATAAATTAACTTGTCACTTATGTAATTTCTATGGAGAAATTAAATTTGCAAATGGAAATAAATTTAGTGGAATCATTGACAAAGGAGCATTTAACAAGAATAAATTCAACAAACTTTTTTTCAGCACTATAAAATAATAATAGAGAAATCAATTTCATTCAGTTGTGAAAACACAATTTAGATACTGATGAGGATTTTTTCATTTAATAATTCAAATATATTATTAGTTGCTAGAATAGGATTTCTTATACTGTGAGATCAAAATTCCGCATCTCACACAAATCTATTGATTTGGTTAAAATATTATTTATTTCGTTTTATGGCAATATCCAATTATTTAATTCTTTGATTACTTTCTTTCACTATAGCGCTCAAGCTATTTAATTATTTACAGGGCAAGTTTTCTTACTTCCCTTCTGGTAACCTTTTCTCAGCAGTTGCTATGTTTGCTGCCTGAGCCAGAATGTGTCAATTATTATCTCCTCTGATAATAATCCCAGTATCCTCCTTGATACCGATGTGTTGTGTTTATATAGACGGTTCAGTGTTTCTAACTGACCGCACCTAGCTAGGGGTTTCCTCTGTTTAGGCATTGGCCTAATCTAAAAATAAAGAAAATAAAATTAAAGAAATATATACAACTATACTTATCAAAGGCGTCCCCCTGGTAAGATAGTAATTAATTATTAATTACGAAAATGCAATTTTCGAAGATAACAAGGACAAGGTCAAGGTCAAGGTTTATTTATAATAATATTTGAGTTTACTAAAAAAAACTAATAAACTAATAACTAATGATTACATGAAAGAGAAATTTACAACGTATTTATACATTTTAGAGGTTCTATCATCTAGTTCTCCGATTTCTTTAAAATCCTAAATTATACTAATTAATGTATTCTTTAATCATTATTTAAACCTTCCATGTAGAATTATTTTCAAGTAATTTCTAGTCAACATGAGTCATGTAAAATTCTTTCGTTTAAATATTATTCTGAGACTTTGTAATTCGTTACATTTTAGAATGTTGGAATATTTATATTTCCAATATTTCCGTGAGTCAATTATTTTATTGGTGTTAACTGTTTTGATTGCATTATTATTTAAAAAAGTACCTGATTGGTGTTGGTATGATTTTCAATCTTTTCTTGAAGAAGATTTTCAAAAATTATCTGGAATAATGAAGTATCATCATTTTAGGTTTAATAATGCACCTGAAAATATAGGAAAAGTATATTTATCAAAAAAGGCTGGTGATGAAGAAATATGTTTTCAACTTTTAAAAAATGGTTCTAATTTTGAACCAAATAAACAGGTTAATGTATTACCATTAGAACCATTATCAAAACAAAGAAAAGAATATTTATATAAAAAAGTAAGAGAACATGTTGAAGATTGTTATAAAGATGTTCATTTTTCTAGACCTTAATTAAATAAATATAGCTTTATCTTTATTTTTTCTTTATTTTAATATTAAATAAAAAAAATTAAGCCATTACACAAATCTTTGCAGATCTTTTTTTATAAAGGACCCCAAAAAATCAAAGAACTTCAATTCTATTTTACACATTTTTGTACTATGCTTTTATGCATTAAAAATTACATTAAACTATAATCCTTGTGTTATAGATTAATTTGGTATAAATTTCTCATTTTTGAATCTGGGAGCTCTAACCCGTGTTTTCCTAGAACAGTCCCCAAATATCGTTTCTTTTATCTTCAAAAAAAACAAAGTTTATAATTAAGTAGAGCTTTGAACTAATGGTTCCTAACATCTCTCTGACAATACTTACTCAGGTGACTGTTTTTCGGCTTCTCGAGTCTTGTTGTCATTCCTTTTTGGATATTTTTGTTGTTAAAAAGAAATTTTTGACGCATATAGTGTTGTACAAAAAACAATTTGTTTTTTGAACGTGAATTCCTTTAAAAGCACGTGCAATGAAATTTCGGCGTATAGGAAATGATTCTTGCCATTATTTCTAACTACCAATTACGTGAAAGGTCAAAAGTGTAGAGGAAACTATTTTATTTTTAGTAGAATTAAATATATAATAAACACGCAATTGTATAACAAAGAGGCTGAGATTCTAATGTGGTTTGAATTTAATGTCCCCACAATTTTTGTACGAATTATCATTAAAAATCCTTCATATATCTTTAGATTCTCTCAAGCTATTACTATCACCATTATCTTGGTCTTTCTTTTCTTCGTCATTGTTATCACTATTGCTATAATTATCTGTGTAAATGATATTAATATTTCCTTAAAGAAATTTTTCCGATCAACAAAATTCATTTATAAATATTAATGACGTCATTAAATCATCTTTCTGCAAGGAGAATAATGCGTTCCTCCCCATTATGAACAGTGACACAACTAATAACACAAACACTTCTACAAATATTTATTCAACAGCAAGACCTTCCGAGTTGCCAACCTTGCCTTTGTCTCTATCTTCGTCCTTGTCCAACTTTCTTCATCAATACAGATCTCGTACTAACCTTACTATTATTGTAAAAGCTCAAATTTCTTTTTTACTATCGAGGATTTCCGTTGATAACTACGTTCAATCTCTAACAGAGCTTAACACTGTAAGATATTTATACACGCACTTACACAAGTATATGTATATGTATATATTTAATTAATTAAAAGATTTTTTCAATTTTTGATTTATATATACAATAACTCTCAAGCTGTCAAAATATAACGGTCAGGACACTTATTTTTATTTATTACGACAACTTGCAATCAGTACTTTATCCAGTGGAAATCAGAATATTGAGATATTAAATCATCTTTTAATCGAAAAAATCAAAGAAATTTCTATTGATCCACTACTTTTAAATATATTTTGTAATTCAATCAGTAACAACAACCAGCTTAAAGTTTTTAATTTATATAGTTTTTTGGAAAGCAAAGAAATCAATCTTCCATTTATTCTTTCCACAACTACGTGAGTAAATTTCTAATTTTTATATATTATATTTTTTTTTATTTATTACGATAATCTGAGAATTTTCCTTCTTTTTATATGTTAATTTTTTTAGTCAAAAATATCAAACCATAATGGGCAATTATGATAATATTGATCAAAACAACAATTTGACTTTACCAAAAATTCTGTTAGATTTGGGTAGTAAATGTTGTAATACTGCTGACTTATTCAATGAAGTGTTGGCTAAATTAGGTGTTAATTCTTCTGCATCTGGTGAAATCATTAAAGAGGTTGAAGTTGCTCGTGCACTTGGTGTTATGGCACTCACAACTGCCAATTTTGATGATGACAGTGGCAGTGTTGCTTGGAATCAATCAAAAGATCTTTCTGATAATAATAATCAAAATTGGAATGTGGAAATATTTGTTTCATCTTTATCCGAACTGGTCAGTTTTCCTTACCTACTTATTAGCTATAAATGATGGCTGCATTTTTTATTCAACAATAATGTTTATATTTATTCATATTTTTTGTCGTCACCATCACCATCATTAGCAACCTCACCTAGATTGGGTAAAGGTGATAAAACTACTCGACTACCCCGAATTTACTATTAAAGATATTAAAGGAGTTCAACTAATTTTAACTGGTTTTAGAAAAGCTGTAAAGGTAATCAATTATCATAGATATGAACGCACACACATATATACTTAGATTTCTATATAATTATTAAAAATCTTTTTATATTTAGGATCAGCAACCTTTTCCAATTCATTTATTTTGGGGCAATTGGAATAATCTCAAAGGGCAATTTAGTTTTTTACGTCATCTTGTACAACTCTCATCAAATGCTTTTAACATTAACGATTATCCTATTCAAAAAGTTTTAACCACCAACGATTTTCCTAATTCTCTCACGCATTTAAAATCCTTGCCTGGAATTTTGACATCTTGTCCATGGAATTCACTTGAATTAGTTGAAACATTGATAAGAATGGCTGATTCTGATTTACATGAAGATGTTAAGGTCACCTTTGAGCTATCAATTAAGCAGGCTCCAGAATTAATATGTTTAGGTCTAGCTCAAATTCAGGTATATATTCATATCTAAACAAATTCACTTTACTATTAAATTAGAACAATTTATAATTATAATTATTTTGTTGTCTATTATTATAGAAACCATGGAATTCTTTACATATGGAATTTGTCAACAGATTAATATCAACATTTTTGACAAGTCACCTTAATTCAACATTGGTATTATCTTATTTATGGCATATTGACAATAAACTTTTTATTGAAAGTTGCCTTGAAATGTACAGAAAAGATCATTTCACTATTACAAGATTATTAGATGTATCGCAAGAATTAAAGGTTACCTTATTATTATCATTAATCCTTATTTTTATTCAAAATAACTTTGTTTATTTTAACACATAACATATATATGTGTGTTTATTTGCCTGTTTATTATAGGTATTAAATTCATTGTTAGAAGTTCAATATTTCTTGTTTACTATCGATTTAGCAGCCCTTGCATCTAGAAGAGAATACCTAAATTTGGAAAAATGGCTCCAAGAAAAACTTAACAAGCATGGCGACAAATTTGCCCATGATTGTATGGAATTTCTTAAACAAAAGATTGCATTAGAAATTACTCATGAAGTAAATGGTAGCGATCAAGCTGTTCGCTTAACAGATGAAGTTGTTCTTAAATTTTTAAGGGTTATTTCTAATAGGTAAGAAATTAATATTGTATTCATAAATACAATACTAGATAATATTTACACTTATTCTTTTTTTAAAGCAATATGACTCCAGAAAATGAAGAATACTTTAAGGAAATTCGTAAAAAATTAGCACAAATATACCCATCTCTTAGCACTATTCCACTTGATGTTAGTATTCCTCCTCAATTAGAACAATCTTTTCCCGCTGAAACTGAAGAGATTGCCAATCTATATTTTGAAAAAGTTTATCGCCAAGAAATAGAAATTGATGATATGATTAAAGATTTACAAAGATTAAAAAATTCTCAGGATCCTCGAGAATCTGAAATTTTCTCTTGTATGATACACAATTTATTTGATGAGTATCAATTCTTACCAAAATATCCTCAAAGAGAACTGAATCTAACAAGTATCATTTTTGGATCTCTCATTAAATATCAACTTGTGGGATATGTAACGCTTGGTGTTGCTCTACGATATATACTAAGTGCTCTTAAGAATACTGTAGATTCTAAATTTTATATTTTCGGAACTCAAGCGCTAATTCAATTTCAATCAAGGCTTCCCGAATGGCCGCAATACTGTTCACATCTTTTGCAAATTCCTCAATTACAACAATCTCATCCAGATATTATACAATATGTTAAATCTGCTCTTTCTGCGAATGCTGTCAATAACAACAACGATAACAAAAACAACATTGATACTGATCCATTAAATATTATTGATGATGATGATAATGATAACAATAATGATAACAACGACAAGAACAGTAACAAAAACAAAAGCAACAATAACGACAATAACAATAATGGTAATAGCAATAATAGTAATAACAACAACAATAATATCAGCAACAACAAGAACAACAATAATTCCAACCATACTATAAGTAATGTTGCTAGTAGTAGTATTAGTTTTGAACAGGAACCTGTTAAAAACAGTATAAATAATGATTTTACAAACTACACCAAACAATCAAATAAAGCAATCGACAAACCAATTTTTACAGCATTAACTCTGGACACGCTTTTAGCAGCCGACAAAGCTGATTACGAAATTCCAAGTGAAGCAATTCAAGACAAAATTTTTTTTATTATTAATAATGTTGCTCAAAATAACTTTGAAACTAAAGTTGCTGAAATGAAAGTAATTCTTAAAGAATCACATTATAAATGGTTTGCTAATTATATGGTTGTCAAAAGAGCTAGTATTGAATTGAATTATCATCAACTTTATAATCAATTCCTTGATGCTCTTGAAGTACCAGAACTTTATTATCATATTTTACATGAAACTTTTTCAAACATTAAAGTATTATTGAATTCCGAAAAAACAGTACATTCTTCATCTGAAAGGTCTTTATTAAAAAATCTTGGATCTTGGCTTGGTAGTCTGACGCTTGCCAAAAACAAACCTATTAGACATAAGAATATAGCATTCAAGGTATGTTTAATAATTATTATCATCATTACAAATTAATTTTTCTCCATTTTAACAGCAAAAAAAAATTCATTATAGGAATTACTAATACAAGGTTATGATAGTAATAGATTGATAGTGGTTATTCCATTTGTCTGTAAAGTCCTTGAACAAGCAGGAAACAGTAAAGTTTTCAAACCACCAAATCCATGGTCGATGGCAATCATTAAACTCCTGGTGGAATTGTATCACAACGTAGAGTTAAAACTAAATTTGAAATTTGAAGTTGTGGTTTTGTGTAAGAGTTTGAATATTGAGCTCAAAGATATCACACCAACAACTATTCTCAACAATCGTCCTCCAAAGGGATCAATTGTTTTACAAACAGAATCACCTCCACCAGAATTTGAAAAATGGCATACAAATAACTCTTCTAAGATTGGACATCAAATATCTAGGCCACCAAGTACTCCACTTGCACAAAATCCTCCATCTTCATTACCTTTGAATGGTTAGTATGAATATAAGAATATCTAACGCTATATTATATATATATTTATGTGATTATATATTTTATTATAACCGTTTAATTATTCTTTTAAAGATGATATTATTTCAAATATTTCTCAATATATTACATTCAACCCTACATTGTCTATATTTTCTAATCAACCCAATTTGAGAAAAATTGTTTATTTGGCTATTGATAGAGCAATTAGAGAGGTATATTATATTAATTTTTTTTAAAAAATACAATTTTATTTCATTTAATTTTGATTTTAAAATTCATAATAAATAATTTTTGAAATGTAAAAAGATTATTACTCCTGTAGTTGAAAGATCTGTTAGTATTGCAAGCATTTCCACCCATGAGTTAATTATTAAGGATTTTGCTATGGAACCAAACGAGGAAAAAGTGCGCAATGCCGCACATTTAATGGTACAAAATTTAGCAGGAAGCCTAGCCTTAGTTACATGTAAAGAACCTCTTAAAATCAGCATGGCAACACATCTAAGAAATTTATTTTTGGAAAATATTTATAGTGAGGTAAAATCATTTTTTCTATTTGTAAATTTTTTAATATTATTAACTTTATTCAATATTCATGATAACGCCTTTATTTGCAATTTGATTTATAGCAAAATAACGTTGAACAAGCAATTTTAATTCTTGTTTCTGATAACCTTGAGTTGGCATGTTCAGTTATTGAAAAAGCGGCAATAGATAAAGCGGTGCCTGAGATTGATGAAGCATTGTCATCTTTATTTAGTAATCGTAAAAAACACAATGAGGTGATTATTTATCTTATATCTATCTTTATGTGTATATTTCAAATATCAAATAATCAATACTCACACAAAAAAGTTTTTTTCCAGAGAACTAGCCAACCATATTATGATATGTCAATATATTCTGGTGCCTCAAGATTTGCTAATAATCTACCTGACCATTTACACTTAAAATCTAATGGATTGCAGCCACAACAACTACGTGTATATGAAGACTTTGGAAGAAGCCTGCATTACAATAATCAGACTGCTTCAATATATGGTAAATAGGAAATACATTAGATCTATAAATATAAATAATTATTCAACAACTTTATTTATTTACAATTTAGATGAACATGCTCCTAGATCGGCTATATCTAGACAAGACTTCCAAATTAATCATCCATACGCTATGCTAGAAATGCCATATGATGCTGTTTCTACAGCAGCAGTATCTCAAGTTCCAGCGCATATTACATTTCACCAAAGTTTTGAAAAATTTATTGTAATTAAACAAATTTAAAGAATATATTAACACAAAAATGGAACCAATCATATTTATTTGTTTATGTATTTATTTACCATTTAGTTGTATCTTTCTGAATTGGATAAATTGGTCAACAAAATACCACAAGCTTCTTGGTCAGCTTTACCACATAATCATGAAATATGCATTCTGGTTAAAGAAATACCAATCTTGGCAACTCAGACCTATAACCGTGATGAGACAGCTTTGATGTTCTCACAAAAAATCATGCAATTTTTATATAAGAATGATTTTAATTTTTCTCGAGAAGTTTATGTTATTTTGCTTGAAAAGCTTTGTGAAATTTCTCTAAAAGTTTTCAAAGAAGTTACAGCATGGTTATTATATTCTGATGACGAAGTATGTAGTAATATAATAATTTATATATTTGTATATGATTATTTGATGTTTTTAATTTAAAAAAAATTTTTAATTAATAATTTACATTATTTGTGTAGCGTAAATTTATTGTGCCTGTGGTCATTTTATTGATCAAAGCTGGTCTCGTCAATGTTGTTGATCAAGATTTACAGCTTGCTAAATTGATTGAAGATGGAAGATCTGTTGTTATAGACTTTACAACAAAATTAATTCATGAATGTGTTCTCAAAGATCCACCATGTGCTACTCGTAATGATTTTATATATTCATTAGATGCTTTAACCCGACTTACTCAAAGGGGCAAAGCAACTGAAGCGTAAGTGATATATTATAATTATTATTATATATATTGATAAAATTTTTATTAAGTATATATGGTTTTTTTCATAAGTGTTATACAATTATTGGATGATTTGTACCCTCGTATTATCAGAAATAATATTGTTATTAATAATATTGATGAAATCGAATTGCATGATCAACTAGCACATTTCTTTACAGAATGGATTAGAGTTTATCAGGATCCATCTTCAGGTGAAAAGGCTTATACTAGTTTTATTCAGGTAAAATTATACATTATTTTGCTTTATATATATTAAAATATATTTTATAAATGTTCATTTAAAAAAAATTTCTTTAATCATATTCGTTGATATTGTTGTAGAGGCTACAACAACAAGGTGTGTTAAAAGGGGAAGAAATATCTTCAATGTTCTTTAGGGTTTGCACTGAAACTAGCATAGAGATTTACCTAAAACAAAGATCACTCCACCAAATTACACCTGCTGTGGCTTATCAAGCAATTGATGCCTTTTCTAAACTTATTGTTCTATTGGTGAAATACCACACAGACCCTGAGGGTATTGATGATAATGTTGCAAAAATTTCTTACTTGACAAAGATACTGTCAATAGTAATACTAATTTTAGCACAGGCACATGAACAACATAGTCAACAATTCAATCAAAAACCATTCTTCCGATTGTTCTCAAATTTATTAAATGATTTAAATTCTTATGAACAGCAATTTCAATCGATTTATTTTCAAATTCTTATAGCTTTAAGGTTCGTCACTTTTTTTTTATTTTAATATATAAAAATTCACTAAAATATATATTTTAATCATAACAACTCTCACAACAACAATGATATATAACAGTAATACATTTCATACTTTACAACCTTCCTTTTTCCCTGGATTCACTTTTGCATGGTTTTCATTGATTTCACATCGACTGTTCATGCCAAAATTATTGTTAGCAGAGAATCAAAAGGTAGACCTTTTATTTCTTATATATTGATATTACATTAGTATTTATTCATTTGACTATTATTTAGGGATGGTCTACTTTCCATAATTTACTCCTATGCTTATTTAAATTTCTGGTTCCATTCCTTCAAAATGTTGAGATGAAAGATACTACATGTTTATTATACAAAGGGACATTACGTATTTTACTTGTTTTGTTACATGATTTTCCAGAATTTATTTCTGGTTATCATTTAAGCTTTTGTGACGTGATTCCGTCAACATGTATTCAATTAAGGAACCTTATATTGAGTGCCTTTCCACGCACTATGAGGTTGCCAGATCCTTTTACACCAAACCTTAAAGTGGATCTATTACCAGAAATATCGCAACCACCGATAATTTTATCTGATTACACTTCAGCTTTAATAACACATTGCCTTAAAGATGATGTTGATGAGTATTTAAAATTACATTCACCGATTAATTTTTTAACGAAATTGCATGATAAGCTGTTGTTGGGCACTAGTCAACAAGATACAGCTCTTATTGTCTCCAAGTATAATATACCACTCCTCAATGCTCTTGTTCTTTATGTTGGTATTAAAGATGTTTATGATAATTTTCAAGGGACTTTAATTACAACAAGTCTATCTATGGATATTTATAAACAATTAGTTGTTGATCTTGATCCAGAAGGTTGATTATCTGATTTACATGATCAATCATGACTTTTACTATTAAAATAGTTACTGATTTATAAAAATAATTGTTTTAATTAGGTCGCTATTATTTTTTGAGTGCCATTGCAAATCAACTTCGGTATCCCAATAGTCATACACATTATTTTAGTTGTGTTTTATTGTATATCTTTGCAGAAGGAAAGCAAGAGGGGATCAAAGAGCAAGTTACAAGGTATAGTTCTTTGATTTATTCACTTACAAATGATCAATTTGCTTCCTTATAACTTATTGATTCATTTGTTGATCATTATTAGGGTTTTATTGGAAAGGTTGATTGTGAACAGACCACATCCATGGGGGCTTTTAATTACTTTTATAGAATTGATCAAAAATCCTCTATATAATTTCTGGAGCCATTCATTTACAAGATGTGCCGCAGACATAGAACGTTTATTTGAAAGTGTTAGCAGGTAATTATTTTACAAAATTTAACATTGATATTTACATAATTTTAACTTTAACTATTATTGTTTTTTTTCATTAGGTCTATAAACCAAGTATAGTAATTTTAGATTGTAGATTTTATTATCACTTATTTTCTCTTTTTTCATTATTTTCAAAATCCCAATTGAAATATTCACTAAATCACGCTTATATAATTGTACAAAATTAATGTTGTTTTTTTATTTTATTGATTTTTTCAGTATTTCTTTATTTTGTCTTTTAGATATCTATTTAAATAATAGTAATAAATTCATATATAGAAAATTTCTATTTGTATATAGCATGATTGAATTTAATAATTTTAAAACTTGTCATTTTATTACATTAAATGATACTATCGTTATAAATGAAATCAATTCAAAGAAATCACTTTCTCTCTCCTTCCCAAGCTTGGGACTTGGTGATTAATACACTACACTTTTTTCATTATTTTCAATTTTAAACCAATAGGCAACGTTTTAGTATATGTTTCCAATCCTATATGTAAGTAGGAGTACCATGCTGTAAAACTTTACACAATATCTACCCTGTGATTTACTAAAGTCAATGCCCTCAAGCATCATATAGTTGGCTCGGTCTTAAAGGCCTCCTAAATTTTGTGCAAACTTTAAAAAGTATAGAAGTCATTTTCTGTCCAACCTTTTTAAAAATAGCTCTATTAGCTGATAAAATAGGTCGTTAGTTTTAATGTAATAGAGAGATTTTCTCAAAAAAAAATATTTGTTGTAGAGTTCTATTCTTTTTTAAAACATGTACTTTACTATTCTATGTTCATTGTTAAATTTAAGAAAATTATTACTAAATTTAGGCTAGCTCTTGACTACGTATCGTATCTAAATTTGGCAGTAAAAAAATAGGTTTGAACGAATTGCAAAATTGCTATTTTTTGAAATTTGGCCACATGGCACAGCAATAGGAGGTCTTCAGACCGAAATTCAATTCAATACTTTATAATAACCACAAATTACCAAATATAAATAAAATCAAATAGTCACATTATTTTTATTTTGTCCACCTTTACATGGACTAAGATAATGGATTTTACTTACTTGTTGATCTGAGTGTGATACATGAACATTTTGGGCTCAATTACAACTATAATCTGCAGTAGCATTGACACCACAATACTGTGTGTTGTACCCTTTGAATAATTTTGATTAACTGATTTTCTTTGTTCTTCAGCTAATTTAGCCTTGGATAGATGTTCTTTAAATCTTTTGAGTAATTCTTTGGCCTTTTCCTCTTGGTGAGCATTGTAATGTAAATCATTTCGAAAGTGTTGACAAGCATCACACAAATCAGTTCTTGGGCTCATAATTTGAATTTCTGGTGTTAGCTAAGGTTTCCAGTTGAAACTCTCTTTATTAGTAGTCGAAATTGCCAAAACACTTTGGGCAAAAATTACTTTTTTATAAGCCCAAACTATTTTTTGTTATTAGCTGAAATTGGGCGAAATTACTTTAAAGTTATTTAAGTTAAAATAAGTTGATTGCCATAGCCTTTTAATGTTCATGTTTATAAAAAATGTTGAGAAGCCCAAATTGCCCAAACTAGTTTGGGCTTTAAGAAAACAGTTTGGACTGGAAACCTTAGTGTTGGCTGATTTCATAATTTTCTAAATGCATCATATTTTAAAGATTTCAATTTGCTATCTTCCTCCAGACCAGCCAGAAAATCTTTGTGCAATGATTTGTAGCTCATTTCAGCTGATAAAAAGACAACTGGCTGAGTTATTCTATAGGTACTTTTGCCTGGGCTTGGTAATCCATGGATTTCTGTATAAATTCTTTACAATTTCAACAACATTTCTATCAATTACCATTTTAGATTTTCATTGAGGCATCCTTTTAATATTACCATGAACTCTTGTTAAAAGACCATGGTTTATCAGATGATTTCTGATATTTTCAAAAATACGTTCTACTAATCCCTAACATACTAAATAAGTTTCTTGACAAAGGGATATACTGTGATCCCAGTGATAGAAAGTTCTTTTATTAGATCTGGGGGGTTTTTTAAGGCATCTGCTAGTGCTAATTGATCCACCATCTATTGCATTAAGTTAAGCCATTGAAAATATGTCTTGTTCAGACTTAGAAAGAGCTTGGAAAGATTCCCTTAATTCTGCAAATTTTTCCTTAGGAATGCTTGAAGAACAGCCATAACCTTTTTTAAAAAAATCAATTGTCTTTTTGGTATTCATTAGAACCGTTATACCCCTATATAAAAATTTTATCAATTAAAAATTATTTTTATTTATTTCATTTTTTATAATTGCCAAACCTAATAAAAATTATTCTATTTCTTTAGGAAAATAATAAAAGCATTAGAATTTTTGCCAAGTTAATGTAATTTTCATTTTAAATATTAAAAAATAAATAATTACATCAATTATATAATAAATTTAATTTCTAACTAAACATAAAAAAAGGAGTACCATTTACAGGTGGATACCAAGGTAAGGAGGCTATTGAGAGCTTTGCTTGTTTGATTTTAAAACATTCGATTTCTTCAGAATTCATCTCATTGAAAAAATCATGAATTTGCCCCACATCTGACCTATTCACTTCTCCCAAATGATGGATTTTTTTTTCCACTTGGAACTAGATATCATAATATCTAGATTTTCTTCATGCTGCTACCTTTTGTTTCAATATTCAAAGCTTGGTTAACTTCTTCAAGAGTACATCTCACATACCATACTGCCATTTCTGCTGTTAAGTTCACTATTTCACCATTAGGCATTCTTTCTGTATATGCATAATTGACAATTCCATTTTCACTTCCAAATCAAAACCCATTTGTCATTCAAATCTGTTAAAATTCCAAGTGGACGAGGATGATTTAATGGTGTGAACATAATATCTGCAGAAATAAATTGTGCAATAACTTGTTGAACTGATCCCAAAATAACAATGATATTCTTTGGTGCCACGGGATTATAAAATCACATGACTCTATCAGTATTATATATGAATTTTATAATTTGTTTTGGTCACGTGTTTAGAAGATCTTTTACTCAATAGGAAAGAACACCCTATGCCAAATTTCATTTTTTGATAGTAAAATCGTGCACCGAGGCTTTTTTTTATTAATAAAATTGAAAAAAACTCTACTTCATTGTTGCTTGGGTTCATATATTGCAAAAATAGATAATATTTCCTATTTATTGGTTTTATTTGATTCATTAAAACTTTTAACAAAAAGAAAAAAACACGGTGGTAGTGGCAGAAACAATCTGGCATTAGGAAATGCTGATGGTAGTGATAAAAACAACATAGTCAATTTATTGAATTTATTTACTGATTTATTAGATAAAAGAACAGACAATGACAATCAAAAAAAGAACATGGCAGTAGTGGCAGAAAAAATTCGAGTTATTAGAAAATGCTGATGATAGTGATAAAGTCAATTTATTGGATTCAATTGCTGATCGATTTGCTAAAAAAACAGCTAAATCAAAAAAAGAACACGGTGGTAGTGACAGAAGCAATTGGAATATATTAAAAAATGCTGGTTATAAAAATAATATTGTCTATCTTGATGAAAAAATGGACAATTATTAAAAGCAATCAATTCAAAAAATCACATAACCAAGTCAAACTGAAAGCATTTGCGTGGAAAGTTTTATTCAGATTAGCACGGGTTTTTTTATAATAAATTTAAAGTTAGATTTTTTCTTTTGCTTCAATTGGTTATTTCCTTTTCTGCTACCAGAAGAAAACCATCTGAACATTCATTATTAATGAATTACTATTAGTACTCATCCATCCATCTATTTATTAATTATCGGTCACATATTTGTATTAATAATGACTAAAGATGGCTTCTCACTTAATTGCGGCATGTAAAAATTGAATTGCAGCTAATTGTGGTTCCCATCTTTAATAACAACATTGGGTAAATTTGTGTGTTTTAAAATTCATTCATTTTAATGGTTTTCAGATTGCGGGGTTCAGGTTAATGTCATGACCTTGAATTCCCTAAACTCTAAACCCAAACCTAAAAATTAAGAGTCACATTGATTTGTATTAACTGGGTTGAATATGTATTAAAAGCTTTAGAACATATACACAGCATATACAGATAGATGTGATTGGGCTGAAATTTTACTAAGTCATGGCGAGAAACCAAAAGCACTCAAAGATTGGACTTTGTTCTTGATCTTCAACCAGACAAATGATATATACGCTTTATATCTGAAAAAATTATGCAATCAATGATTTATGTAAAGCGTTGAAAATAGAATCAAATAATACATTGGCACTCGATTCACACGAAATTTGTGTTGAATATTTTAAACAAGGAAATAATCACTCAGAGATTGTTATCATGCAAGCGAATGCAGAACTATCAATTAAATCATAAAATCTTTGGTATCAAAAAATTTGGTGATAAAATGCTATTATATGTTACAAGAGGGATTCTTTATTATTTCAAAAAGTGGCATTGAATGATTCCAATAAAGCATCAGAAAAACTAGATTGAGAAGGAGGAATCCATCCAAAGACAAAAGCAAAGAAACTAATTAAGTATTGTGTTATCATGGGTGTGAAATTTCGGAAGAGCATTGACAGGCTTGAACAAAGTGTTAGGAAATGAATCGGATGATGTTTTAGTGTCCTCGCTAATTAATTGTTATAAATTAATATTTTTATAATTTTAGATGATTATTTATGGTGTTTAATATATTCACTCTTTTTTGTTTTTCTTTTCTTTCTCGTATAAATAAATGATTATCATTATGCTGATCTATTTTTTTTTATAAAAATATGAAATATTTTAATTCTATTTTTTCCAATTCATTTTTGTTTAATCAAATATCAATATCAAGGAAATTTATATTCAGGAAATTTAATCAAGGTAATGATTATAATAATGATATTTTATTTTATTTATTTATATTCATAACGTTTACAATATGTGTATATATATATATATATATATATTATAGATAAACAATGTAAAAATTTGATTAATTTTAAATTTTCAACAAATAATTCAACTTTATCAACAACTAAATTAAAAAGTGATGATAAGAATAAGAAGAATAGTGGTATGGGTGTGAAAGGGTATTCAGAATTGACAATAGAATCATTGAGAAAATTAAGAGATCAGTTGAAATATTATGCAGTTGTGGAGATTAAATCACAAAAGTTTCTGATAACCAAGAATGATTTGGTGATTTGTCACAGAATAAGGGATTTGAATATCGGAGATGAAATAAGATTGAATAGGGTGGTGGAGTTGGGATCAAAAGATTTCACAGTATATGGTAAACCTTTGATATCAAATGCATTTTATAATATTAAAGCAGTCGTGGTTGAGAAACCATTGGGCCCATTTCTGGAAAAATTTAAGAAAAAGCGTAGAAACCGTCATAGAAAACGAATTACACATAAACAAACTTATACTGTTCTCAGAATTTCAGAACTTGACGTTAACAAAATATAAGTAATGATATTTTTATTCTTATTGTCATCATGAGGCAAATAAAATAATGTTTTTTGTGTGTTGTTATTTCTTCCCTAATCAATTGAAAGATAGATAGATTGATTTATTAGTGATTATTGTTAAAAAATTTTATTGAATATAAAATAATAAATATCTTAGAAATAATAATACAAATCCACTGTAGTGACTCAATAATAATATTCTAGAATACACTTTTATTTAATTATCGTTTATATTATTATTACCTAACAATATTGCTGTTATTATGGTTGTTAAAATTACTGTAAAATATTAATGAACAAATGATTCCATTGCTAATTTATCATTTTGTATAGATAAAGAGTCATCATTCCCAAATTCTCCAATTCCAAATTATCAATAAACATTACAATATTGAACTTAACTGAACTAGTATTTATAAAATTATCTCTTATCTACATTCGATAAATGTTTCTATCATACTAATACCACTACTTCAATGATAGATGAAATATTTGAATGATTTGACACGTGTCCGTATGATATAACTATTAACCAATTAATATTAATCAAATAAACATGTCGATCGATTCTTCCTCTCTCAGAAATATGCGCTTCAAAGCATTCTTAATTTTAAATGATTTCTCTATAGTTGCCAATTTTTCTAATTTCCATACAATAGCAAAGATTTACAAACTGATAATTGATTGTCCATTATTATTATTTATTATTATTTTCTCTACAAATGAAAGTTCAACAAAAACTATTAAATCCGTGGAATTTTTACTCCCTTTAGGGAAATCTTGAAGAATGTTGTTTTCTAGTATTTGAGAAATTTTTTAGATAGAATTATGTTAATTATGGGTATTTTTGATAATTCATTAATTATCATAATGTCGAACTTTCAGGTCAGTTATTTCTAAAAAAAAAAAAAATAAAAAAAAAATACGAGGAAAGCATCAAGCGAAAGTAAACCATGCCACATTGATCTATTCTTTGATCGGATGCACGGCAACTTTTGGTTGAACCAATTTCGGCAAATTGTTTGAAGAATAGGGCCATAACTTGGCGAATCAATTATTTATTTTTAAAAAAAAGTAAATTCAAGATAAAGAAGGGGAGAAATTCAAATGTCTTTCGTGAAACTAAGTTCACTCTAATTATTTATATATTTATTTAATATTAAAAATAAAATATGTTAATGGTTAATAAATATGTATATATATATATGTCATATGTATGTATATATAAATAAAAATAAATGGATATAAACAATGAAAGAATAAATCTTTAATTTTTATTTTTAGTTATGCACTTTGCCTATTATTCGTTGATTAACATTATTGGTACGTTATTGTGAGTAACATTATTTTTTGTGTTGCTGAGATTGACAAGTTGAAGCCGATTGTTTAAATTTATCAGCAATATTTGGACCTGCAACTGCTGTCACAAATTTAAACATTCTACTTTTTAGCCAGTCTTCCCAATCTGTATCTTCATCGTTATTGTTACTATTATTATTATTATCACCGCCATTATTATTATTATTCAATCCACCTCCAAGATGACCATTTTTATTGCCATCGACACCATCCCATTGATCAAAGTATTTTTGAAAGAAATCTTCCCAATCCTCTCCAAACATTGCTATTCTTTCTCTGACTCCATTCTTCACTCTTGCCCAAACTCGTGAAGTACAAAATATTCTACGTGAATCATCATAGAATGTAAGCAAATATGATGTACAAAATACCATCCAAAGAGCTGTTATACAAAATGAATATATCATCATTAATGAAAAAAATTGTACTACTGCTGATGAAAATACAGTTTTTGGTATCTTAAATGACCGAGGAAGTAATGCATTAAGGCTTCCGCTATTATCGTTAGGGTTAGCACCATTATTGGTATTTCTACGAATATTACGATTATTGATACATGTAATATTGATGTTCTTGGTAGATGGCGTAGATGTAGGTGTAGGCGAAGGTGAAGGTGGAATTGAAGATGAAGATGAATATGATGGTGAGTATGAAAAATAATTTTGTGATGTTAACTTATTATTATTATTATTATTATTGTTATTATTATTAAAATTGAATGATGGTCCAGTTGTTGTATCATCACACATTTCATAGAAAGGTGGCGGTGAACTTGTTCGTGGTGACATCCTTTTGAATTATAAAAATCTCTAACAATATATAAATATATAAATAAATAAATAAATAAATAAATAAATAGGTAAAATAAAATAATTTGTTCATTAAACCAATCACTTTCCAACCAATTACCTTTCAATTATTTTATTGAATTATATAATCGATATTACTTAAATGCTTACTCTTCCGAATTAACTAAAACCCTTTGAAACTAATTGAATTAATTTCTTTGAGAATAATGTTTGTTAGGTTTTATTTAAAAAAAAAATTAAAAAAAACGAAAAAAAAAAAATAATAATTGGTGATGCAAAAACTAAAGTTTCAGGCGCTTGTGTTTCCAGGGAATTACTAAATTTTACCAAGATCACAAGGATTTTATAAAATTTTCGCCATTTAACTTATTGTGATGACACTACATTCACATGGCATCAATTAACCTTCAAATAATCGTGTTACACCGACATATAATAGAAGATCTATATCTTATTATAATTACAGGAGAAAGATGATAAAATAATATTAGGTGATTATCATTTTTGTTTATTTGATTAATATTTTCCATCAGGTTATGTTGTTTTACCAAATGGACGAGAAGAAATAATTATATTTTCTTCATCAGAGAAATTGGCATCGGAAGTTCCTGATTTGTCACTATTGTAATTGATTAGATTGCGCCATTTAAGAACTAGCTTAAAGACACTTGCCGTAAATGATTGGGCTGGTAGCTACCATTGCCATAAATAGCTATTGATGGCTACCATTTACCGCAAATAATTACGGCTGCCGTGAACAGTTGATATATTATCACAAGAAGGATAACTACTCTGGTAGATACAATCATAGAAAACTGTGTAAATAATTATTACCATTATAGTTACAAATGATCATTACTTTCAAACAATACTACCAATACAAGTAATTACCACTGCCATCATTGACTGCTATAAATTTTATAAATTTTATTTATTTAAACTTATTTAAATTGCAAAATTGAAAAAATTTTGACTATTTACTAAATATATAAACATTCAATTATTCTAATCACTTAGGTAATTAGAAGCTAATTGTGCTGGGTCATAATCTTCAATTTCTTCAGTTTCTTCACTGTTTGTATTCTCCTCTTGATTTGGTGTAACATAACCATTATTGTTTATGCAAAAGAATTCTTTCCAACTCTAATTCAATGTCATCCCTAGGTTCAGAATCATCATTATTTTCATGAAGTAATTTTAGAAACAAATTATTATTTTCATCATCATCTTCTTCTAGAGTATTATATGCAGCATTTATCAGACTCCTAGCATCATTTTCAATTTTATCCTGAGCCACAAATTCAAGCTCTTAATATAATATCTGTGGATTTTAGCAATTGCTACTAATTTTTCTAGTGATAATTTTGACAGTGCTTGCCGTAAAACCAACCCAATGAAGAAAATATACACTCATAGCAAGCAGAGCTAGGCGTGACTGCAAAATTTTTTAAAGCAAGCTTCTTGAGGTTTTCTGTTTGATTATTGCATGTCATCCACCAGGAATAAGTTATCCAAGAAAGGTGTATCATATGGCTTTAAATGAAGTTGATACTTACGTAATTGAGCATATAGATCTTTACATGAATCTTGATTATGTCCTAAATCTTTCCAAGTACTTCCAGCATGCATTAAAATTTTCGGAAAATATTGTTTATTAATACCAATGCCTATTTTTAATTAATATAATCATTTAAAATTATAAAAATTATAAATTAAATAATATTAAATAACTTAAGTAACCTTTATATTCAGGATGTAGGTAGTATGTAACAAATATGTATCATTCATGAATTCTGAATATTTAATATTAATATAATAATAAAATATTATTGTATTTAAATATGATTATATTTTATTTTTTATTATTAGTTCAAAAAATTAAGACTCCGAACGAATCGAATTAATTCGAACCAAACCGGATTCTTGATTTTTTTTAATGTCATATTAAATACAGTGAATCTCAATGAGTGTATCACAATTTAATGGATAAAACAGATTGAGGTTTAATATAATAATCATCATCATAATAAAATTCTTCTCAATGTAACGGTTGCTTGATATAGTCTCAACGGATAGACGGGACACAATTATAATAATAATAGTAATAAGAAAAATTTTATACGGTGCAGATTAATTGCTTATAGTAACTATTGGTCAACTTCAAAATACTAAAACAAAAAAAAATTATATCATTTTAAAAAATTTAACCGATGAGTTTTATTGTATATGACTCAAGCTTCAAAACTTATCGGCTGGTTTTTTTTTTAAACTGAAAATTGGCTGAACCTTAGCATTTTTGAAAATTCCGAATTTTGTTATAACACTTAAGAAATTGAGACTAATTTCGTGTAACAACTTTTTTTTCATAGAATATTTTCTACAACATACATTTGATTTATTTATTTCCTTTTTTTTTATTAATAAATAAAAGATCTTTACAACAAAAAAGTTTAACGAACATATTGCATTAAAAGAAAATCATTACCAAATTTGATCGTGAGATTCAAAATATTGTTATTGTTGCATAAACTTTCAAATATGAAAAGAAAATTTGAGACAAAATTTTTTTTTTAGATTAATAGACTCCCCTTTTAAAGCTAATTGAATAGTGGGGTTTTTAAAATCCAATGCGTGGATCACATAATATTCCAAAAATTTTAACTTTTGAGTATAGATGATTCGCACTGTATTAATATTAAAAGCCAAAATGTCATTTTATAAATTATTAATGTCAGACAGAGAAGAATCCGTATTAAAAATTTTTGGTGAAATATTTAATAAGATTCTTTTAACTATTCCTAATTATAAAAACAAAGAAAAAAGAAAAGCTGATTTTTTTGAAATTAGTCAAAGAAAACAAAAAGCTTTAATTATATCACAGATTTAGGATTATGTGGACCAGTTGAAGAAAAATTATCAAATAAAATCTATGGAATTGTATCATATGTTGCATCCGAACTACTTAGAGGCAAAATTAATACAAAAAACACAAAAGAATCTGATATCTATAGTGTTGGGATGTTAATGTGGGAATTATTTGCAGGCCATCCACCATTTGTTCATAATCATAGCTTGATGATAGATATATGTGAAGGATTACGACCCCAATATTACAAGGGATGCCTAATGATTATGCAGAAATTATGGAAAGGTGTTTGGATATGATCCAACCAAGAGACCAACTATTAAAGAGCTTTTGACCTTTGCTGAAAATAAATTAGGGAAATTTTATAAAACTGATAAAAATAATAGTGATATTGATGGTGATGCTAATAATAGTATTAGTAGTAATATTAATAATAATAGCAACTTACTACAAGTTCATAAACAACTCCATCAGCATATCATACAAGTAGAATATTAGATTTTGAAATGGTTGGTGTAAGGAAACCCTTTTTCCTTACGTCAAAATACTATATAATGGTTTTAATTATTAAAAAAAATACAAGTTATACAAGTTATTCTTTATTAATTACGGAAAGCTTATCTTTTTATACAAAAATGCATAATATAATATTACAATTAAATAAATAAAAATAATATCTTAGAACTTCCCGGAAAGCCGCAGCACTTAATTTGTAACTCATATACATAAGAAAATAATATAAATAATAATAATATAAGTAATATAAATAATAAATAATATAAATAATAAGTAATATGACGATAATATATATAAATAAAGTTGTAACGTTTCGTTTTAATTTAACGCGTTACGCGAAATAAATTTTGTATTACTGTGCCACATTTCATATTCGCAATTAACGAAAAAGAACTGTTACAGTTGGATTAAATCTAAAAAGTGGTGATAATTCATTAAATAATCTTGATGTCAACACTACTATCTAAAGTACAATTTTATCAATTAAATTATAATCATGTGAGGACCTGAGATTATATTAATATCAAATAAATAAATAAATAAATTATCTTAAAGACATTAAAAAGCTAAGATAGCACCCGGTAATTATTAATACCAGGCAAAGAACTAGTAATTAAAATTTATGGTAGAAAACAGAGAATACAAAAGATTTTTTCTTTTATTTTTTATAAAATGAAAAGAATACCGTAGAGAAAAATATATTTATGATTTTTTTTCAAGAATGTCAAAAGCTTTCATTTCTTCCAACACTAGTTGAAAAGTAAGGAATCATAAATGATTTTATACTGATTTTTTTGGCATAAATTTGATTTTATCATTCAGTATAAAAATAAAATAATAGATTTAAAAGCAATTTATTCCAAATCGGAAATCCCTGCCACAAAATTGAAACAGCAGATTTGATTATATAGTGTCTGTTCTTTTTTTTGTTTTTAAAGCAGCTGGTCTAACTTACTAATTAGAAGAAGTTGTGGTGATCTTACTGGTCTTTTTGATATTATGAATTTACTTTCATACAACTTACAGATGTAGTATAAGGTTACAATGATGATATTTATATATAATTGTTTTACATCTAGACTAGTGGGAGAATCAATCTTTTTGGTTTCTTCATTAACTTCTGAATCAATTAATGACTTTTCAGAATTAGAGGAATGTCATTAGTTTTGTAGAAATTGTCCTAGATTTTTGAGCATTAGCATTAATAATTTGACAGATACAAATTTTGCTAACCAGGATGCTACAATAAACAGAATTATTCGCTTGGCAACAAGGCATAGTATTTTACCACCTGATTCTGAAGAAAAATATGCTTTCAAAAATTTATTATTAAACAATTTATTTTTCAAATAAAATAACCTCTAAACCTAATCTAGGCTCACTATTTTTTTTGTAATAAATTTAAGTTTTTTTATATAATTAATAAACTGAATAATTAATAAGTAAATAGATAAAACAAATAAATAAGTCCGACATGCATTACAAAGTAAAAAATCCCTACAAAGATGTCAGACCATTGATATTTTAATTAATTAATACACAATGAATAGTAATCAGATTCTTGATATTTTAATTAATTAATATTAAGGTACATAATCACTCTCGTTATAATAATAAACAAGTATACATTTTTTGAGGATTTCATACTGCAGAGTTATTCGGTCGGGTTTAACTATGCCTTTGACATGTCATGAATAGGACAAAAAAAGCAATACGAGCCATATGGTTTAAGGCGAGTCACTTCTTTATGGTTGATCAAAAAATTTCATTGTTTTATCATTAATTATACAAACTCGCTTTATTTTTAATTTTTCAGTTATGAAAAACAGATGAAATTAGATCCCGATTGTTGTCAATCAATTTATTTTATATCATGTCATCATCAATGATGCATTTTGGCATTTAACATTAATAATTAATATTAGTCATTCATTATTAATCATTCTATTTATTTTATTTTATTAGATAAAATCATTTAAAAAGTCATGTTGTTTGTAGTGTGGTTGATTCATAATCCTTTCTGGTGATTAATGGTTTGGCCAACCCTTTGATTTTACTATATTGCTTGTAGTGATGCTCAAGTAGTATTATTTCTATTTTTTTTTAGAGCATACAAATTTGAAAAACAACTGAGACACTTGACCAGAACTCGCCTGCAATAATAGCACTGGAAAGAAAACCTTGCCTTGACCAGAACTAGGGTTTCTATTCGAATCAATGAATAATTCGAATAAAATAAAAATTAGTTTGAATAATTTGAATAAAATACGAATGATTCGAAATAAAACGAATGGTTTGAACTAAAAACGAATGGTTTGAAATAAAACGAATCAAAATAAAAAAAGATAATTCAAAATGAAAAAGAATAATTCAAAGAATAATTCAAAATAAAAGAGTTGTATATTATGAATGATTTGAATAGGAATTTGCATTACAAATTTATGAATAGAAACTCTAGCAGAAATGGTGAAATTTGAATTTTATTTACTGTGAGATATGCACCCATTGATCATTACTAATTATTTTATAACAAAAAAATTGAACAAGATATTCAGAAATAGACTTTTTCCATGATGATAAATTTCAATTACAAAAAGCCTAGGAGAAATACAACTTGAGAAAAAAATGATGCTTCAATAAGTGATTCAGAAAATAATGGTAAAAATTATTTAATAGAAATAAAATTAGATTCTTATAAGTTATTCTAAATGATTTTTTTTAAACATAGTTAGTGATTCTGGTATTGAAAGTAAGTTCTAAAAAAGAAAGGATCGGTTTATGTGAACTACATTAATGTCAAAATGCCAATGCCAAGAATAAAAAGATCAAGCAAGGGTATTATGAACTCGGGAGAAGGCATTGCTGATGAAGGTGATCAGATCATTGTCCACAATAGATATTTCATTTATTATAATGGCATTGATTTTTGGTGGCTCAGTCCTTATGTGCACTGTTTGAAAAATCAATATTTCTTTGTATCTTCCCTCACTTTCAAGGATGAGTGTATGGTCTTTCCACCAATGTTCTGGGCAGCAACATAAGCAGGGGCTATCAATGGGTATTCTTTTCTTTTAGATTAATGATTTGAAGGAAGTAGATGTATTCTCCATCTGATGGTTTTTCAATGATGTCAGCTGATGAAACATAGATCTTGATTCTCAAGCTCAGGTAAAGCAATCTTAATATTGTTGCATATGCCTCTGAAATGGTTTAAATAGCCATTTTTAAGTGAATTTATTGTTTTGTTGTAGGAATCTTTCTCAATATGTGGTAAAACATCCTGGCAAGTATTGCTCTGATTTTGCTGCAACCTTTATCATGAGATGTTCAAAGAAAAAGGGCTCAATATGTATCTAGTAAAACATAAAGAATGAGTGGCATTCACTTGACAAACACACTACCTTTTTATCTTTGGTGTTGAATAATTTTCAATTTCAGACCTGGGTTTTGGATCTGATGTGGCTGAGGGAACCCTTTACAACATAGTTCTCCATTTGATGGCTGCAATACTTCATGATCAAATCATGCAACATTTTTTCCATGATGGTGTCGGGAATGCTTGCATGGATTGTGTATGTAAAGTCATGCATGTGGGTTTTGAAATTTGTCATGTTTGAAGAAATGCTCCCACTTACCTAATTCACCATCCCAGGGTCCTTCCACAACTTGTTCCAGCATATTTCAGTAGTGCAGGTAAATGTGCAATGGGTGATTGCTTGGCATAGCATTGCCATTCCATGCAAGTGGGTCCATTTGTCTTTGGCCACCATCAAGGTGTAGGAGATCTGAGAAAGGTCTTACACACTTATTTCTTTTTAAAAAGGGGGACAAATTCAAAGGCAAGGTTGTGGTTTTTGATAGATGTTTCTCATAGTTTGCATTTTTGGTGGCCAGTATCTGGTTCTAATTTTGAAAATTTCATCTTCTCTCAAGCATCAATGTGGTTAGTACCAATACAAGCAGAACCTAGCTATATATTGGAGGTGGTATTTTTTTAATGTACTCATAGTGTCCCTTCCTATTGGGGGAAACATCAAAGACTCCAGGTCAGGGTTCTAAATATGATCAGAAGTTTGGCATTGTTTGATTCAACAAATCCTACAATCAGTATACTGTGAGATAGTAAAATGAGGACCGATAGAGAGGTTCCACGTTGCCGATCCAACCAAGCCAGATTACTGCGGAAGTCACATGTTAATAACATCATTTCTATTTTTTTTTTAATATATATTTTGTGAAACTACTGCGCCATACATTGCGCAGTATCACACGCACGATTATTAATATTCATATTTTATAGATGCTGGTCGCAATTCTTGGTGATGGTTGCAACCATATTTGCGACATATAAAAATGGTTTGCGACACCTGGTTGCAACCACTTTGCGACCACTTTGGTTTCCTTTTTTGGATTGCGACATGGAACACTAATTCAAATCAATTCAAAACAAGTCACAAATTGAATCAAATTGACTACAGATCGAATTGGATTGAATCGAATCACTCTCAAATTTGTTTTGTTTTGTTTCGTTCGGAGCCTTAAATGGACCAATTAATTGCCAACCCTGGTTAGTATACTATTATCTTGTGATAAAAATGACAATAATCCGTATCTTATTCACACACTTGAAAGAACATGATGATTCAATGGAAGTTATAGCAGCTGTTGAAAACAAATTAGTTAATGATGGTTATGACAATATTGTAAGAGTATGGAATTTTATGGAAAGAAAATGTATTGTGTGCTTACAAGGACACATTAATGCGATTAATTATGTTGCAATCAACAATAAATTTAAAAGATGCACCAGTTCCAGTTTAGATGGCATCTCAAAATTTTGGAGTTTGGATAATGGAGAAAATCTCTGGAGATTAGAAAATCATTCATCATCCTTTGGAGTTTATTTAATTTTAATGATTATAGTTGTAAACATATATTGACTCTGCATTCCAGAGAAATAGAAACTTTACAGTATGATGAAGTTAAATTAGTAGAAGGATCATGTGACAAGTTAAGCATATGGTACATGAATACTGGAAACCATCTCCATGATTATTAACAGGATTAGATGGTATATGGTAAGATATCAGTTTTAATAGTCATTTTAGGATTTTTTTCTTTTTATAAAAATAACATTTATATTAATTGGAATATATAGGAAAATAGAATATAATGAACAATATTGTGTAACAACAGTAGTAAGGGTTTAGTAACTTGGATTGAAATCCTAGATTGGTGTAAAATAAGACCAAAATACTTTTAATACTAGTTGTGCTGATCAAAATGATACTGGATTTCCAAAAGAATAATAGTAGAAAATGACTGGATTTTAAATAAGAAAACATCCATAATTCTTTGTCAATTTGTAATACTATTGAACAATAAAAAATTAATGTTGAATCATGTAATAAATTGTTTGGATTGTTCTCTTTTAATTGCTATCTCAAACTACAAACTTGTAAAAATTTGGAATTGACATACAAATAAAACCAAACATATTTAATCTATTGACTAATGCACATACCAAAAAAAAATCGTTATACAGCTTGTAATTTAATTACAGTCTATTGTGAAATAGTGAACTCGATATGTTACACAAAGTGTCATGAGTAACATCTACGGCACGATAACAAAATTAAAAATAGATCGTAAACCGAATCTTTGAATTATTAATTCGTTATTATTTATTCATAAATATTCTTTATTCGATTATCATTACAAAGATTTAAGTGACCTGAAAATGGATGAGTAGGTTATCCAGAAAGGAATTTGACTGAATTTGGAAGGTAATGAATTTGCTCTTGAGAATGTTGTTGAAAGTTTTGCTAACAAAGCATGATTATACATACAGCCCAAAGTATTTTGACACTGTCATAAAGGGGGTTACACATGTAGTAAAGGGGTGTTACACTTATGTTTTTAATA